GGAATGGGGCAGTTTAGTTAGCTAAGTTTAATTGCATCTGTGAATCTGAGAACAGAACTGTATCTGCAGAGATTACTTGTCAAAGGCAGGCAGTGTTTTCCTTTCATGTGCAAAGCTCAAGTCTGATTGTGTGAGCCCCTGATTGAGTGGCTTGGATAGAGATCAAAGTCCTTCATCAGACCCACAATGCTGTGTGCATAGCCTCCATCCTCCCATTTTGGTCCTGTTTTGCAGGCTGCTTCCTCATGCTCTCTCTCTTCTTTCTTCTCCGTGGATGTGTCTCATCCCGTCACACCGCAGGACACGTTGAAGGGCTCCCTCTGCTGCACTGTGCTTCCTTGACTGTTCCTTTGAGCCTGTGTCTTCCGGAAGCTTCCCCTGACTGCTACCCTTTGACCCTTATGGCATCACAGTTCTTTCTTAGATCTCAGCGCAGGTGAAATTTTACAGATATTCATGTGATCTGTTACTCAAATAATTTGAGCAATCAGTTAAAGCCTATAAACTCCTTGACTCATAGTTGGGTTAGGTGACAAAAAAACTAGTTTCTGTAGTAGATATACCTGGAAAGACAGATTTATGAATATTCTTAGAATTTAGTTGTGTAGAGTTATAAACTCTGCCAGTGCCTAGAGGAATCCACAGTGCACATTAGAAGTATACACTTAATTTTGGTTACCTAGTTACCCTGGCTGGGTACATAAGAGACTCTGTTGGAACTCTGGGAAACATTGAAGAGAATTATGTAATAGTATAAAATTTAAATCACCTTCTTATATTTTAAAAAGGAGAGTGACATCCAAAGAGATTTCTCTAGATTTCATTCTCTTTTTTAAGTTTAGAATATTTAAAGGAAACCAATGACTCTATCCTCACTACTGAAACAAATCTGTACATTTAGATTGGCAGAATATTTTATGGTATGGTTAGAACTGGGCTCAGAAGAGACTGTGACCTTTGCACATTTGATGATTTTATTTTCTTAATTTCCTTTTCAAAGCTATACATCTTTCCTGGAGCATCGGAACTCTGAATCATGGAAGAAAGTAAATTGATTCTGTATTCTTCAACCCTACAATTTGGCAGCGAGAATATTTTTTTCCTAAAAATGACTCATTTACAAAGAGACTTTGTGTGAACATGGAAAAGACTTACATACTTTCAGAAATCTTGCAGTTGGGGGTAGGGTGGGTATCTGGGCCTGCTAATAATTGCGAAATGGCAAAATTAATGTTGAACAGGATTAGTTGGTCAATGATCATGTGAAAGTTACAGTTCTACAAGAAAAGACAGACACTTTTATATTCAGAAAAAGAAAAACTCAGTAAGCTATATAAAAAGCTTATCATTTTTCCTGTTTTAGGGCATTTTTCTTGTTTTAATGTACCCTGCTATGAGTCAACCAATGTTTTACTTTTTGCTCCTCTCGGAAAGTGTTCTGTGTTGTAATATTCCTGCCCGTTAACCTTTATTTTCCTGATTTTTAGTCCAAAATTTGTTGTTCTGAATTTCATCCAATTTCTTCTGGTGATTTGCCCTGGGATCTCCCAGCTTGAACGTGGTTTTGGTTTTTCTTTATTTTGTTGCTAATCATGCTTCCTCTAGCTTCTAAAATAATCATTGAATATCTTGATACAACTAAGTTTTCAAGAATGCATCTCATTGTACGTTAAGAAAACAACAACAAGCTGGTTCTTATAGTGTGGGAAGCATTGATTATTCCTGTATTGCAGTTCTTCTAAAGACAAAGCAAACAGGGCCATTAAAAAATACACAGAGACCTTGTTCAGACGTTCAGCAGTAGATCTGTATGCATTCTGAAGAAAGGTTGTCATGATGTGATGCCCAGCCATGCCATTTTTCATGCTCTAACGGTGGCCATTAAGACTACAAAATAACATTCTGCAGAAGTGTTCTCATGGCTTTGCACAATAGTCACTGAGTCTGAAGACAAGAAAGAAGCTCACCTTTACTGAATTCCTTATGCCTGCAAGACTTTTTCACCTGTGAGTCCATTTGTTTCTTTTCAGAAGCAAAGTGGGTATTATTATCCTAGTTTATGGTGAGAAACTGAGGCTTAGCTAGGCAAAATGACTTAGCCGAAGTCCCACAGAAAGTCAAGGGAGGAGGAAAAATTCAGCCCCAGGTCTTTTCCAATTTCAAACTTCATTGCCTTTCCACTTCACTGTGCTGCCTCCCAGGATTTGGGGATGTGATGAGTCTGCCTGAGGTCACATTATAAGTCAGAGGTGAGCTGGGAACATTGTTTGGGGCATCTCCACATTGCTTTAATCCATTAAAATATGATGTGCCCTCTCTAACAAATGCAATACGTTCACTTATTTCTTCTTCGAAGGGGAGAGATGGCATGGCAGCTTTTTTTTTTTTTTTTGCGGTACGTGGGCCTCTCACTGCCGCGGCCTCTCCCGTCACGGAGCGCAGGCTCTGGACGTGCAGGCTCAGCGGCCATGGCTCACGGGCCCAGCCGCTCCGCGGCATGTGGGATCCTCCCAGACCGGGGCACGAACCCGTGTCCCCTGCATCGGCAGGCAGACTCTCAACCACTGCGCCACCAGGGAAGCCTGGTATGGCAGCTTTTGATCTTCTACAAAAGATTAACTTTCTGAAAAAAAAAGTAATAAAGCAGATATGACATTTGGCTTAACTTTTGAAAAAAATGTGAAAGAAAATAATTCATTAAATGTGAACTTTGCTGATGACCAACCATTTTGATACATAGTAACTTTCTTTTGAGGAATTTTATGAATATTCCTTTCCTCTGGGTCTTCAGAATTCTAACCAACTTAAAACCAGTCTGGCAAATGGACTCCCTTGAATCCGATGTATTGTTCTAGAATCCTAAGGTTGGATGCACCATGATGCATTTTCTGATAAGAAGGTATTTCCACCTGCTCTGTCAACTTACTAGTTATGCAACTTTTGGCAAGTTCTCAGTTTCCTCATCTGCAAATGGGGATAATGTAGAACCTACATTAAAGGGTGGCTATGAGGATTAAGTGAATTAACATATATGAAATACATAGTCTGGAACATGATAAATACTTTATAAATCATTGTTACTATTATTTATTCCAGTTACAATAGCATGTTTCAAGTCATGTCAGACTATCCAGAGGGTGCACATGGGTTTTGAAGGATCTAAAGAACATCCTAGGAGGTGGCATTTATAAGTAACCTGGTTCTGTGTAGGCATCTGCTAGCAGTGACAGCTGAAATACAATTCTAGGCCCATCTGATTCCAGAGTGAAGGAGATTCAGTGATAACTAGACTGACAGAGGTACCAGGCTGAACAAACCGTGTAGCTTGACTTTCTTCTTTCTCCTCACTGATCTTGAGAACGTGAGCCATGCAGTATCACTAACAGTTTCAATTTGCCACCGGAAGCAGCTCAAGCAAACGTGAGTCCTTGGGGAAAGAGAGTTTTTTCACACTTGCGTGCAGCATGGATGACTTGGAAGTGAATTCTTCCAACGTTTGATTAACAGAATATTTAGCAGATGCTCTGTTCAATGCTTGAGATATAGAAATAAATGATAGCTGGTCCCTAATCTCAAGGGAGCATAATCCAGTGACACAGAGACAGTGCCAGCCCAGAGAGCAGACGATAAGTTTGAAAATTGCAGGTTGTTTTTGTATCGAGTATGAAGAGGTTGGTTATGAGACTTGTTCACAGTGAGGTAAAATGTTTAAGGATGGGGCCAATGGACTCGAGAAATATTTGAGTTTGAGGAATACAGGAGAAAACATAATTATGTGAACAACTGAATGGAGAAAGGCTGATGGTTGGTTATGGAAATTATATAGTCATCCTCATTCTGGGAGTAGCTGAGAGCATTTTATGAAATGAGAACTTCAAGCGCATATAAAAGGAGAAAAACAATAATCTAAGACTGATCTTTCTGGGACAACCATTAGTATTGCTATTATTGTTAGTATAGCTAGCAAAGAATAGTAAGAGGAATATTTGAAAATGGGACTGGAAAGGCAGGGAATTCTGATGTTTCTGAAATTACAGCTAAAAATATACTGACAAGTGAGTGGGTGAATACAAAGATCCATGCAGACATCCATGAATAGCCACATGGAAATGAAGGTTTTAGATTCAAGAATGAAGATGTTATTGGAAACATTAATGAGATTTGTGTAAGTAACTCTTGACAACAGAATACTGTACCCAAACGTAAGATCCGAGGAAGATGGGATGTGAATAAGAGAAGTAAATGTTTGCAGGTGCCAAGTGGTCCAAGTCAACCCGACATTGACCCTGGTAAACCTAGATAAATGTTGAGGGACTGCAAGTTTGTTTTGGAATTTAGTTGCCGTGTGCTGAGTGAAGATTGAACACTTTGCCTCTGTCTGAAAAAGTTGTGCTGTTTTACCAAAGCTCCAGATTCTGGAGGGATGTGTAGGAAGAAGTGGAGATGAAAGTGACCTCAGCAGATGGCTCAGCCTTGGAAGGTGTGGGGACATGTCACAGCCATGTTCGGGGGGTAAACTTTCTAAAATGGGCAAACCAAAGGCTGTTATAGACTTACCTTGAAGAATAATATTCATCCAGGTGTAGTTTATTCCAGAGGTTAACTCGGATGGCCATAATCAGGTAGTTTAAAAATGTATTACATTTGTTTAATCCTCCAATCCTAGATGTTTTTCTTTTGAATACATTGAATATGTTTCTAATGTGCAGAACATTTCTCCAGCAACTGTGAACATTGTCTCTCTATTTCCCTCCCAGAGCCTTCCTTTTAATCAAAATAATTTTATTGAGTTAGAGATATTTCAGGCCTTTTTTCCTAAAGACTGAAGGATGTGAATTCCTTATTAAGCATTTTGCCACTTTGTTATTTTGGTTTCTTAAACAGTCACGAAGTGAAGTCATAAGGTGTGAGAAATGTGAGAAGGAATGAATTCTGAAATGGAGGGCTGCTCTGTGTAAATATGATGAAATATTAATTACTTCTTGTTTCCTCTTCTTCAGGGATATCAGGGAATGGCAGGATCACCAGGTGTTCCAGGATCCCCAGGAATACAAGTATGTGATCTGTATATACATATTTTAGCAATACCATTTCTAGTGAACCAAAACACATAACTAACAGAATTTTATTTTGTGGTTAATTTAGGGAGCACGAGGACTACCAGGTTATAAAGGAGAACTGGGGAGAGATGGAGAAAAGGTAAATATGTACAAGCAAAGGTGTGTTCAGTTGTTTTAGTCACTCAAAGACAAAGGATGCAATCTGTGATGACTCCCATTCAATAATGTTCGTCTTGGTGAATTCCAAGATGTCAGCTCAGAAATGTGTCAGTGGCCGTTGGCTGATCAAGCTCACAGGAGGCTTTTATCACTAGATCAAAGTGGTTATCACTAGATGACCACTGTCAGATGGCACAGGTATTGGCATTGCCCTGGTACCATGTTCCTTCTCTGTGATTAAGCTCTGTAAGGAGCTACCTTCTTAGAGGGAAGAGCATCATGTGAATGGAATGTGTTCCCGTGTTAGCTGCAGACAGCCATATGTCCATCTCCACAGCAGAAATCTGTCTTAGCCTTACTGGACTTCTCTCTCTTGTAAGGATTCAGTGGGTACAGACAACATTTGTCTGATTTCCTTTTTTACAGCTCTGAGATTTGCCATGTTCTTTAAATATGTTCAATATTTTAGCACCTCCTCAGGGATCTAGTCCTGCATCCAGGTAGCTGGTCCACATCCAAGATGCCCATTGGAATTTGCTCGAATCCCCATGATGATTTGTTAGCTTAATTCCTAAAGCACAGTCTTATTTCTATGTTCTTTGAAGGCCTTCTGTTTGCTCTTGATAAAAACCTGAACTAATTTTCTAGCTCCAATTCTTGCAAAATGATTGCCTTTTAAAAATAGTGTGCACAGCATTCACACTTGAGAAACACTGATCTGGGCTCTGTCTATTTTATGCTTTTATGGTTGCTTATGCTGGTTATAGAAAATTGTAGCTGCTCAAGTACCATCTCTGGATGGACCCCTGGAAGATCTCATGATGGGTCTACTGCTTTCAAACTGTTTGATCTTGGCACGTGACTTGATGTCTTTGAATCTTATTTTCTACATTGACTCAGTGGGGATTTCTTTATAGATTTGTTGTAAGGATTAAATGCGATAATATATGAAAAATACTTAGTGTGGTCCCTGGAACAGGGTTTTCCTTAAATAATTGCCTGTTGTTTTGTTGTTCTGTTTTGCTTATCAAGGAGCGAGGTTGTGGTTGGGATGTCACATGGGGTGGGCTGGCATGTGTCATGGGCAAGAAATGTTAGAGCAAACAGAAGGGTTAGTGTCTGGAAAAGAAACAGAGAAGATGGAATAGGTCAGGACAGCTCTATAATGTGGGGAGAGCCAGGGAAGACAGAATAACAGCAATAATTGATAGAACTCTGGAGGAAGTGTTACAAAATCCTCTTTTCTCCTCAATGGCCCTGGGCCTCTATGAATCTTTTTAGCCACTGGCAATCTCTGCCTATTTAAAATGATGGAGGTGCATCTTAAGAGGTGCTGGAGAGCAGGCCAGGCCCACAGGAATGGAGATGTCTTATATTTGTATGTTCTGGAGGTATCATGAGAGACCTCCAACCTCCTCTAGGAGAATGGGGGATTCCACTAGGAAGGTGTGGATACCTGTTCCTAGGAGACCACATACCAGGCACCTCACCCACATTCTAGTCTACAAGATTGTTGCTGTTTCTTTAACAGTCTCACAAGTAGCCTGATTTGGGGATGTGGGAAATATATAAAAGTATGCATGTATGAATAAGTGTATTTAGGAATGGATGGATGAATACCTTTATTTGTTTTTGTGTTGACTTGGGTTTTAGAGACCCAAAATAAAAAGGAGGCTTTTTATTCATTTATCTTAAAAGAATTGGAGTAAAATACCTTATTTAAAAGTAAAGAACAATAATCTATAAAATAGAAGCAGACTCATAGACATAGAGAACAGACTTGTGGTTGCCAAGGGAGAGAGGGATGGACTGGGAGTTTGGGATTAGCAGATGCAAACTATTACATATAGGATGGATAAACAACAAGGTCCTACTGAATAGCACAGGGAACTATATTCAATATCCTGTGATAAACCAAACTGAAAAGAATATGAAAAAGAAGTATATATATATATATATATATATATATATATATAAAATCACTTTGACATACACCAGAAACTAACACAACATTGTAAATCAACTATACTTCAATAAAACAAAAATTTTTTAAAAAGAACAATACTTCTATTAGTCACATCTTAAGGTAACTGCTCTATTGTTTTGGGTCATTGCACTGTGTTTAAAATAGAAGTGGATGACTTTTACAAAGCCACACATTCTATTAAAGAAGATAAGGTGAATAAGATGTAAGTTTATGTAAAGTTCTTTGTTTTCAGACCAGTAGTGATTTCATTCAGTGTCGTTTTCTGAAGTTCATTGTTTGGGTGTCACCTCTGATTGACACAGTCATTGTGGGCCTAAAATCACCACATGCTGCCTCTAACTTCCCTCCTTACATTCCTTCTGGCTGCAGGGATTTCTTTATTTAGAGCTACAATAATTTAGTGGGTTAGTTAAAGGCGTTTCCTTGGGTGTTCCTCTAGAATACAATTTGTTAATTTTCAGAAATGGGAAGGTTAAAAACATACCCTGGAGATGGCCTTGACTTGTGATTGCTCAGGGCATTTTTTCCAGGCATAACCCATGGCCTTTAGGGGATTGTTCCACACCATAATGTTCTCTGTTAGGATATTTTCCCAGAATAATTTCCATTTTGTGGATTTCCACTGAAACTCCCATAGGAGTTTCCACTTAAGATAATTAAAATTATATTCACTTTCTTGCTGACTGTAACCTTTGTTCCTCACATATCAGAAAATAGAATGTGTATAGATTTTGCATGGGGTTTTTTTCCCCTGAATTTACAAAATTAAAAGGACCCTTTATCCACCAAATTGTCTTCAATTGGTAAATCATTTTATAACATGCTTTAAACATATTCCTTGGACTCTAAGAAATACTTTAAGTACTTCAAAGAACTTCCTCAGCTTTAAGGAAACCTAATATATTTAAATCGTGTGGAGAAATATATTTTGTTAAAACGTACATTAAGCTGGGTTGGTTTTTATGGGTTTTCTAATTGAGTATTTCTAATTGGTTATATGGGTTTTGTAATTGAGTATGAAACTTTCTATGGCAATGCAATTCTGGAGACACAGGAAGTATTAATAATGTTTTTAATCTAGCCAGATTTGTACCAACTCATCACTTGGTTTCTCTGGGTTTAAGAAATAAAATATATTAATTCTATCTAAGGTATCCTTATGGAACCAATTATACATTTTGTTTAGTTTCTTCATTAGAGTATTAAACATTTGAATTGTCCTTTCAAGATCTCACTGTCCCGTTGCTCTCAGCATCCAGTACAGAGTATCATGTAATGAGCGAGCCTTTCTTACATGAATAAACCCCATTATCTGCACTTTGAAAGGCAAAAGCTGAAGTGATGTTATAGCGATATCTATTACATAGTTGGTCATAATCAAGGAACTCCAATATATATGCTGAGAGAACAGTAATAAAGGACCAAGCTGAAAAGTGTTATTAGGGAATAATATGTAAAAAATTTAACATGCTAGGGGCTTTATTTCTTGCAGAGTTCCTGAAGACAAAAAAAATAAAAGAAAGCCAGTAATGACATAAGAGGGAGAAATAGAACTAACTTAGGAAAGTGGCCATCTTTCTCTTATTTCTCGAATAGAGAGAGTAATCTACCCGTGTATCTTTCTGATAGCACCATGACCCAAACACGGGGTTATGTGTGTGTGTTTTGCAGGAGGGGGAGGCTTAATGCAGTCACAGGTTCCAGGCTGTACCCTGATTTCAGACTGCTTAACCTTCCTAGTCATACTTCTTAATCTCTTTAAACCTGGTTTCCCAAATCTAGAAAGTGGGACTATAAGTATTTCTTCATAGCCTTGCTGTAAAGTCTAAATAAAATCATGCATGTACCTGTGGCCCAAATTAAACACTGTAAGTCAGTGATGATGATGATGGCGATTTGTAAATGTTTCCGAAAATATCTTTCGTTTATCCCTTATTGTTTCTCACAGTGTTGAAGTGCCCCTTATGAAGCAATCAGACGGGAATTCCCTAAACCTCTTCCCACCCCACTTACCCTCTTTGCTGTGTGTGTACCTATATTCTACCCTCTCTTCTGTTAATATGGATGAACTGTCCATGTATAATGTCCAGCCCTCCTCTGTGCTCTGGGTCTCATCCTTCTCCATTACTTTGTGTTATTCATTAGCCCCTCTCTTCTGTGTCAGTAGTTTTTTCTTTCTTTTTAAAAAAATTTATTTTATTCCTGTCCTAAAGATGCAGATGTAGAGAATGGACTTGAGGACACGGGGAGGGGGAAGGGTAAGCTGGGAAGAAGTGAGAGAGTGGCATGGACATATATATACTACCAATGTAAAATAGATAGCTAGTGGGAAGCATCCACATAGAACAGGGAGATCAGCTCGGTGCTTTGTGACCACCTAGAGGGGTGGGGTAGGGAGGGTAGGAGGGAGACACAAGAGGGAGGAGATATGGGGATATATGTATATGTATAGCTGATGCACTTTGTTATACAGCAGAAACTAACACACCATTGTAAAGCAATTATACTCCAATAAAGATGTTAAAAAATTTATTTTATTGAAACATAGTTGATTTACAATGTTGTGTTAATTTTTGCTGTACAGCAAAGTGACTCAGTTATACATACACACACACACACACACACATACATATATATATACACACATACAGTCTTTCTCATATTCTTTTCCATTATGATTTATCACAAGGTATTCAGTATAGTTCCCTATGCTCCACAGTAGGACCTTGCTGTTTATCCATTCTCTGCATAATAGTTTGCATCTGCTAATCCCAAACTCCCAACCCCTTCCTGCCCCACCCCCCTTGGCAACCACAAGTCTGCTCTCTATGTCTGTGAGCCTGTTTCTGTTTCACAGATAAGTTCATTTGTGTCATATTTTAGATTCCATGTATAAGTGATATCATACGATATCTGTCTTTCTCTTTCTTACTTCACTTAGTATGATCATCTCTAGTGTTGCTACAAATGGCATTATCTCATTCTTTTTTATG